AGAACTTAATGCATCTCTCAGAGCTGTATAACCATTTGCAAGACGGAATGCAGAAATCCCAGGTTTATTGTGCCTAATAAGAGCTGCAAAATCATAGAGCAGCGGTGAAGTGAAATTTAAAAAAAAAACATCCAAATCAATCTTAGTGAGAATTATTTGCTAAAGGGATGAATTAAGCAATATAAAACACAAAGCAGGTAGTCATGTGACACTGACATAATTTTAACCAAGAGAAGAGACCTACATGAGATGGCACTCAGAGCCATTGTGCGAACAGTAACATCGGCATCTGATGTGAAATTTGACAGGAGGGGTTCCAAGCCACTGGCTTCCATCACCAGTTGCTGGCTCTTGGGATTGTTCTGAACAATTGTACTTACTACTTCCGCAGCCTTAGCTCTGATATTAGCATGGGTATTACTCAAGTAACCAAGGAGAGGCACCAACCCACCAATTGAATGAAGATCTTACAAGTAAAGAAGTCAGAAAAGGGAAAGAAACAAACCAAATATAGGTAAAACATTTCAGAGCCATGCTTGGGGGTATACGTACTGCATTAAACATAAGAAACTCACCATTGGCCATGTCAATTGACTCTACATGCTCTTGCAGCTCATCCAACAAACCTACAAAAACATTTTGAAGCTCAATGGAAATCTGTTAAAGCAAGGCACATGAAACCAACTATATATTTAAAGGGAGCAGACCACGTTGATCCAAAAACAGGAATTTCAAAGAACCTCATACTTTCAATATCCTGAGAAGTGACCCCTTGTGATTCAAGCACCTCCTCAGGGGTTTGCATTACAAGAGAAATCTCTTTCATTCGCTTCACTACATCAACCGTTTGAGCTTGCATAGCCTCCATAAACCATTTCCGGTCTTCCTCACTAATCGGGAATAAAGAATATCCATTACCACATTTATCAAGTATGCTAAAACATAAAAGTAACTTTAGAAACCTGAACCCATAGTCTAGTTAATTAATCAACATTGCCCAGTATAAGAAGTTGCATTGTTGCACTGTTTTTCATTATTCATCACCACTTGTGCAGTATAGAAATACCAAGAAGTTGAAATGCAGCACTTATGATCAATTAAAGTACAATTTACAACCATTTACACCGTTAAAACTTATAATTGCATACTACTATATTTTGCATATACCCATTAGATTGCACTATGTCATTAATTTTAACCATTACCAACTATGAAGTACCATTTGATAATCAAAATTCATCTGAATTGGCATTAACTTCCATAACTCATCAAAATTAACAGATTACAAACCATTTTGAGATGCGCAGCATACACAAAACCAATATCCAATTGAAAACAAAAAAAAAATCAAAATCTACATCACAAGAAAATAATACAGCAGAATCCGATACCTTAAATTTCGAGTAGGGCGAGTCCCATCGGAATGAGAGAGACTCCACTTGAGCAAACCATCCCAGTTAGGTCCTTCTTTTGCCATTGTTATTCGGCTGTAATATTAGGAGGGGCAGGACCTAATTGCTGTCAAAGAGTTCAACCACAGATGAGAAAGTATCACAATTACAGTTATATAGACACAGATGACAGATCCACGGAGTATCTGGATAGAAGAGTTTCTCGAACTAGCTATTATAATCTGGATTGAGGGAGAAGAACAGGCGATTGTCAAAACGTCTAACTTAGGGCATACTACGCAAGTCTTAAGAACATCGGCAAAAGTAAAAAATGGGGTGAGGTTAAAATCAATCATGTGACAAGTCAGTAAAGTGGTATGCTTTGTGGAAAGTCATTATTTTTTTTCAATTTTTACACTTTTTAACTTAATTTATTTATAAAAAATTATTTTACTTATTTTTTTATAAAAATGAATGTACCCCTTTCATAAAAAATTTATTTTTTGTAGAAAAAAAAATAAAAAAAAGAGAGAAAGGGAACATAGTTGTCATGGGCCTGACTTGATATGCAAGGTGACACAGCTTATCACTCCTCGGCAAACATGGAAAAACTTGATGTGGCAGGGCGAGGCAAGGGGTGCCCTTGTCGCTGCCAATGCTCTAAGAGTGGACGGTATGGCCCTAGATGCGGCAAACGGATAAATCTTTTGGGATATTTTAGGATAGAGTGGGCAACAATCCCAAAATCGTGTCCCAACTTAAAATATCCTGGTCTCGTATTTATAATATTTTATTTTGTTAGGGATCACAAAATTGTAGAACCTCATGCGCTACCAACTCTTCACATATGGCCAACAAAAATTCTGTCTCAAACCCGTTCCGAATCATTTTTAAAATGGGACAAGATCGGGACATATAAATATTTTCTTGTACCGTCCCGTTCTCATGTATATATTTATATATCTACTTATTTATTTATATAATAATATAGCACACAAAAAATATCACAATTTTTGTATTTCCCATAATAGATATAAAGGTATTAGTGTAAATAGTACACCAAGGAATCCCAATCTAAGGCGTTTATAGTATAATAACAAGGACTCTTAGAAAACGAACAACCCTCCTTCACCTCCATCGTCCCTTTGGTTTTTATCTGCATCATGTTGTTGTCCCTTCGATCTTTATCTGCATTTACATTTAATATGTAAGTTAAGTTAGCTATAATATAAAAATGAACTGAACGCTTACATTATATTCAGTTACATTTAGTAATAATTAATATATAAGTTAATAATATCCATACATAGTTTATAATGCTTAAATTCTTAGCCAGGTTCTCCCATTATGACAACGTCCTAGTTATATATATATATATATATATATATATATATATATATATATATATATATATATATATATATATATATATATATATATATATATATATATATATATATATATATATATATATATATATATATATATATATAACACCATCTTTGGATCCACCATCTTTTTCTTCACTTAAATCCACATGTTCAGCATCGCGCTTTGGTCTCTTCTTGAGCTGTTCCAGCATCAGCCTACCACTTCTACGCACGGGAGATGCACTTTCAATAACTTCTGGTCTCCTTTTCAAGACAAACACACCATCAGCATGCGCATTTGACTGTGGTGAGCCTACATTTCACATGGAAGATTAAGTATTACACACTTATGTAGTGAATTTCCAACAAAGTGAGCAACAACTAAACATGAAATCCATATGCATAAATTCCCCCCACCCCCTCCAACTGAAAGATATATGATAATGTTATTTTTTGTGAAATTCA